AATAAAGATGAATAAAAAGAAACCAAAATGATGGATAAGAGATTACTACCTCTTTCTTCCTTCCACAGTGAGAGTTTTGAAAGGCTGCCAATGAACCAAAATAGAAAAAAACATGCTAGAGAAGAAAAGAAGCATCCATAATACAGTCTCATCTTACCTAACTCTCACCACCAAAATGCAGGACTCAGGTCAACAACACAGGGATCATCTCATACAAGCACAAAAGAAGCATGAAAAATACTGACCCTGAGCATTAGGTGAGAATTTACTCTGGTCTCCCACTGCTATGTGATCAAGTGTCAAGTCTCCAGGGTCCCTCAACACTTGGAATAAGGAAAGAGGATCTCTCCCTCTGAGAGGTAAACTATATGATGTATCTGAACATCCGTTTATTCCTTTATTCATTCTTCCAATTGACAACTAGTTATTGACCATCTACTATGTGTCAGGCAATATGATGCACAGTGACCCAGGGATGTAAAGACAGACATGATCTCATGGAGCTTACATTTACCATGAGAGATACACAATAATAAGTCATTAAACAGATCAATCTTATAATGCCAATACTGATAAGTGCTTTGAAGCCAACAGATGTGATGAGTGTGACACAGGAATGATACTTTAGATTGGGGGGTCATATGAGGCATCCCTGTGGAGGTGGTGCTGAATTTGGAAACATGACTGATAAAAAGGAATCAGCCCTCTGAAGATCTGGAGGAAGAGTGTTCCAGATAGGATGGCAAGTACAAAGGCCCTGAGGCAGGAAAGAAGAGCATAAAGAGCTCTGGGAAAAGTGGGAGAGAAGTCAGAGATAAAGGGGTTTTCATGGAGGCTCTTATAGGCAATAAGGAATTTGGAAGTTAATGGAGATTTTGATACAGAAGAGTGATATAACTTAATTTACAATTTATGTTTAAAAAGATCACCCCAACTGCTTGATGGAGGAATAAGTTTAGAGGCAATTTCAATAGTCTAGATAAGGGATTGAATAAGTGACATAAGTAAAAGGAGTAAGAAAGATCATGGCTGGATATATTTTGGATGAGGAGTGACAAGGTTCAGAACACACTCCCCCAAAATATAGCACCTTGGTATACTGAATATTTTGAGCTGAAAGAATTTGAGAAAACAGCAGATGCAGGAAACTCTGACCTTTCTCCACCCTGCTCCCTTGAAGCAGGTCCTAGACCCCCATGGGAGAGGTGTCCTCCCTATACCCAAGACAAGGACAGTAAAAGGAATCCAAATGAACAGCCCTTGCTAGTTTTCCCTAGTTCATTATCCTTAGTCATACCCCCTTTTTAGTACTATCCCATTTTTCCATGACTCTCTATTCTTCATGAAACCTAATATTAAACACACAGAGATTTACCTGTTTCTTCAAGTCTTCATTTCCTTATAAAGGCTTCCATGTCATGTAAAATTTATATTAAATAAATTTGTAGGCTTTTTTCCTGTTAATCTGTCTTTGTCAGTTTCATTTCCAGACCCAGCCAGGGACCCTGAGAGGGTCAAGGGAAACTTTTTCCTCCTCTACACAAATCAAGGGGTACACTGATTGTTGGATGTGGGGAGTGAGAAAATTAAGGCTGATGGAAGATGATGTTATTTCCTAAAATAAGGAAAGCTAAGGAAAAGGAACAGATTTGGGGGTGAAGATCAGGAATTCTGTTTTGGGACATATTAAACTTGACAAACCTACTGGGCGATTTTCAAGAAGAATAAATGAGATAATGTATTTAAAACACCTAGTATATAATCAGTGCTCAAAAAAAGTTATTTTCTTTCCAAATTTACTAAATCTCCTAAATTCAAGTGCCCTGATATGAAAAGAGAAGATAATATCTATATTACAGATTCATAGTGAGCCTTAATAGGCTTAATATATGTGAATAAAGGTTATCAATAATAACATGTATGTAGCTCTTACCATGTGCCAAGTATTGTTTTAAGTGTGTTACATTTATTAATGAATTTAATCCTCCCCAAAACTCTAAGGAAGGTGCTGTTATCTCCATTTTACAAAATGAGGAATGAAGGCACAGACTAGAAGGTAAATAACTGGACCAAGTCTACACAGGTAGAGAACAAAAACTGAATAAAAATGTATTATTTAAAAATGTATTATTAAATGTCCAATGTATATTGCAGATAATAAATTTCTTTTTTTTTTTTTTAAAGATTTTATTTATTTGACAGAGAGAGACACAGCGAAAGAGGGAACACAAGCAGAGGGAGTGGGAGAGGGAGAAGCAGGCTTCCCGCGGAGCAGGGAGCCTGATGCGGGGCTCGATCCCAGGACCCTGGGATCATGACCTGAGCCGAAGGCAGACGCTTAACGACTGAGCCACTCAGGTGCCCCGCAGATAATAAATTTCGAAACAGAAGAAATGTTGAGTATTTAACAAACAGTTATTGACCATCTCATCTGTGCCAGGCAATGTTCTAGGAACCAGGGATACAGCAATGAACAAAACTGACCGAAAGTCCTGCCTCATGGTCTAGCCAAGAAAAAACTCAGAGAAAGAATGATGGGCTTAGGGGCACCTGGCTGGCTCAGATGGTTAAGCGTCTGCCTTCAGCTTGGGTCATGATCCCACTGGGATCGAGCCCCACGTCGGGCTCCTGGCTCGGTGGAGAGCCTGCTTCTTCCTCTCCCTCTGCCTCTCCCCCTGCTTGTGCTCTCTGTATCTCTGTGTCTCAAATGAATAAATAAAATCTTAAAAAAAAAAAAAAGAATGATGGGCTTAGCCAAAAACGTGTTGGCTCTGAATACAGCAGTGGGGAAAGCGGGGATCAGTTGGCAAACTCTTGCAGCCCCTTCAACAAACAGCCTGTGACCTGTTTCTGTTCAAGCCAAGATGTTTTTACTTTTTTTTTTTAAAGTAAACCCTGCCCCTATCGTGGGGTTCAAACTCACAACCCCGAGATCAAGAGTGACATGTTCTCCTGACTGAGCTAGCCAGGTGCCCCTGTTTTGACATGTTTTAAGAGGAGAGAGAGGAAGAGAGGAAGAGGAGGATTATAAATATGAGGATCTGAACAACGTCGAAGGAGGAGGACATGTTCACCATGAGCAACAGGCCAGGTTGTAAAAGGTGCCTTTGTTGCCTGTTCAGGAAGCCTCATGGAGCCTGGGATGGCTGGAGAGCCCATACTCACTGGGAGGAGTGGTAAAAAGACAAGGACAAAGACTGGCAAGAGGTTAAGAGGTGAAGGCTGCTGGATTTGACAGATTTGTTTTTCTCTGTAGATGATGGGATGGCATTGAAGGAGAGTGAATTCCTAGGAAATTCACTTCTGGATAGTTGCTTCTCACACTTAAAAAATATGTGTTTAATCTTAGAAGAGTTTAAAGAAATGTTTTGATGCCCACAACAAGAGCAGAATTCTTCCAAAAGTAACTCTTAAAGAAAATGTCAGCCTTTTTATAAAAGCTCTGCCCAAGCAACCTTAGAAACTCTTTCTTTTAGGAGATGAACCATATCAAACACTTACAGAGATCTCCCAGTGCACTTTAAGCTCATCTTTGCTGGAAGGGAAATCTCATTTTTATTCAATGCAAGCTCTGGCCTAATTTTTTTGTTGCTGTTACCTTCATTTTTTTTCCTTAGGGGAGAGAATGGAATTTTATTTGTATATTTGCAAATTATATTCTGAAGTGTAACTGCAAAATGTGTCTCAAAATAAATAAGGAATCTGGTCGAACATGGAACCGGGAGGGCTGGGGCCCAGAGGTATAAAGGACTGGTTTGCTTAGGGACTTTATTACCGTGACGGCTAGAACAAAGGCAGGATGGGAACCTGAACCGGCTGAAAGTTAAATAACAAGACAGACATGTACAGTAAAATGAGAAAAACTTTGAGAATGGAAAAGGATGTCTAAAGAGTTGACCTTAGAAAGAGGAGAGCACCCTAAAAAAAAGGAGAGTAAACAGTTTATCTTTCAAGGAAGGAGGAACTGGTTCTAAAAAACAAAGCTGCCTGGCACTGAAATCATATAATTGAAGTGACTGAGTTAGCATGGATAAGTGACTATATGACATATAACACAAGAAATCAGGAAAATTCTCCACAGAGAATTATTTTATAAAACCTCAGAAAAAGAGATTGTTAAGGCATTTGTACTCAGTCTGATTATATTTATTTCTCACTGAAACAATATTTTTAAAAAATGATTACCAATTTTTTTTAAAGATTTCTTTAATTATTGGGGGGGAAGGGGCAGAGAGAAAGAGTCTCAAGCAGACTATCTACTGAGTGTGGAGCCCAACTCAGGTCTCAGTCTCACAACCCTGAGATCATGACCTGAGCCAAAACCAAGAGTCTGATGCTTAACCGACTGAGCTACCCAGGCACCCCATCCTATTAATGTTGTGAAAATGGGTAATCATTGGGATGCCTGGGTGGCTCAGTCGGTTAAGCATCAGACTCTTGGTTTTGGCTCAGGTCACGGTCTCAGGGTTGTGAGATTGAGACCCGAGTTGGGCTCCTTGCTGGGCATGGAGCCTCCTTAAGATTCTCTCTCTTCCTCTCCCTCTGTCCCTCCTCACCCCTCCCACTCCCCCGCACGCGTGCTCGCTCTTGCTCTCTCCCTCAATAAACAAACAACATTAATAGAAAACATTTCTATTCATTTACTGTTGTAACATATTACCACATAATCTGTGGCGTTAAGCAACACAGATTTATTCTCTTACAGTTCTGGAGGTCAGAAGTCCAAAATGGGTCTCACGGGGCTAAAATCAAGGTGTCAGGAGGAGTGCATTCCTTCTGGAGGCTTAGGAGAAAACCTGTTTCCTTGCCTTTTCCAGCTTCTAGAGGCTGTACACATTCCTTGGTTTCTGGTCCCTTCCACCTTCAGAACTAAGTCTTGTGCTGCAACACTCTGCCTCCTTTTTCCACTTTGGAGGATTTTGTGATTACATTGGACCCACCCAGATAATCCAAAATAATCTCCCTCTTTTACTTATTTTGGCTTTTTTCTTTTCCTTTTTTGGGTTTCTTTATTTATTGGACACTTTGGTTTTTTTTTAATCTCCCTGTTTTAAAATCAGCTGATTAGCAAGCAATCTTAATTGTATCTGCAACTTTAATTCCTCTTTGCTGTGTAATGTAACGTATTCACAGGTTCCAGGGATATCTTTGGGGGGCTGTTATTCTGCCTGCCACAACTATATTGTGCAAGATGGACATTCAATCTATCAACGGTGCTGAAATCTTAGATTTGTTCAGCAACTTTACACAGTCTTCTATATGCCCGAAAGGTAAATTTTGTACATAAAGAAGTCCAAATGAATTGGTACACCTTTTGGGAGGATTTTTGGCTTGAAGGCCTAGGAAACTTCACACACTTTTCAGATTCTGACAACTCAAAAAGAAAGATATATAACAACCATTGGAATAAATATACTGTGTCTTGTCGTGGAGAGTAACAATATCGTAAAATTATTACATTTTGTCACAACAATAAATGTTTACACCGCAGACAGTAGAAAAAGCTAAGCATGTAATGTTTTAAAAGCATTTGATAAAGGAAATTAACTGTTTTAAATTTTATTTCAAGAGAATGAAAATAGTGGTAGTGAGGAAAAAGGCAGTTTGCTTCCAACTTTTACTCTAAAACAAAAAACATAAAACAAAACCAAAAAAACCCCACAAATAAATTTGCATAGTGATATTAACTGACAGAGGTATTTTAAGGAGAAAAAATAAAAGCACTTTTTTCACTAAATTGTATCCTTTTCTTACAGATGTGTTCCAAGCAAGCTATGCTTCTCTGGGCAAAACAGCCCCACCAAGTCTTGTCAACTTCTCCTTTGGGAGATGCAGAGACTGGAGGGAGGGGTGGGGAAGACGGGGGATGAGGCTAGACACCTGTCCCTAGTGGAAAAAGGAACACACCTGGAGAGCAACTCAGACAAAGGGAGCCAAGGGGGAAAAAACAGTAATTGGAGAGGAGACTGCTTCCAATCTGTTGCTGGGTTTATAAGGTAAATCTATTCCTGGAGGAAAGGGATATAGTAGCTGCACACTAAAAACTGGGACAAGGCGTGTCTATGCCAAACTGTATCTTTTTCAAGAAGTTTTGAAGCCCAGTTTGAATCAAGTGACCTGCCTGAGATTGCCAGGTGTCCTGTGCACATCTCATTCATTCATTCATTCATTCACTCACTTAGTCATATTGAGCACCTAACAAGCTCTAAGCACTGTTGATAAAAAAGTAAACAAGGCATAATAGTACTTAGCACACTGCATTTATTTGCATTGGTTTTGGCTTTTTCTCTCCCACAGCAGCTTCTAGGAAGGGGCCCTATTTCATTTTTGCATCCTCAGTGCCTAGAACAAGTGCCTGGAACAGGTTAGGTGCTTAATGAACGAAAAAATGACTTTAAAGCATACTTTTCATAGGGGGCTATGTTCTCAAACCCGTAGCCCTATTTAGGGGGGAGAAGGGATGACCGGTACACATGACAAGAACGGGCAAGTCATCTTTAATCGGAGTACACACAGCAATCCAGTTTTCCTGTGGCTTCTAGTCCTCAAGTAAGTTAAAGTACGGGAGTCCAGGGAGGGATGGGGAAGGTCTGCCGCCTCCTCCCTCTTCCCGCATGCGGAGGGCTGAAATTGGGGGACCCACGAAGGGAGTTCTCGCGAGCCCGCCTGTCCGCCCGCGCTCCTCACCAGGTCAATGGCCACGACGTCCCGCAGCGCCACGGCTCGCCGTATGGACTTGGGCGGGTTCTCGGTCAGGTAGATGAGCCGATCGCTGAGCACCACGTACTTGAAGGTGTGCTTCTCCGAGTCGGACACCACGATGCACGGCTCGTAGGCGCGGACGGCGTCGTAGACCTCGGGCGGCAGCTGCCTCCGCAGGAACGCGTCCAGACGGCTATTCGTGTGCGCAGGGAAGCCAGACCTTGCGGGGCCTGCCATGCGCGGCGTCCGCGCCCGGAGCGAGTGCCGGGAGCGGGGTGGCGGACGCCTCTGCCCGGCCCCGCCTCCGCGCCGCCTGCGGTGGAACCCGCACGCGCCACAAAGCCGCCCGCCCCGCCGCCACCACCTTCCCCGGGCGCAGGGAGCAGGGCCCCCAACTTCGGTGCCCGTCCAACGATGGACGGGGCGAGAGGCTGGTCTTTCGGTAAATCATCATCAAGCATCCCATGGGCTGCGGGGCGGATATTTAGGGGCTCTCTTCGTCCTCTGCTCACAGCAGCCCCAACACCCCCGCCCGCCTCAGCTATTGAGGACCATGCCATTTCTAACAGACGGTATTGATGAGGGAATCCACAATTTCAAACTGGCTTTCTGTTAGAAACGAGATGAAATTTACCCATTTATTTTTTTTTAAGATTTTTATTTATTCATTTGAGACACAGAGATACAAAGAGAGAGAGAGAGAGCATGAGCAGGGGGAGAGGCAGAGGGAGAGGGAGAAGAAGGTTCCCCGCCGAGCCAGGAGCCCGACGTGGGGCTCAATCCCAGGACCCTGGGATCATGACCTGAGCTGAAGACAGACGCTTAACCATCCGAGCCACCCAGGCGCCCTACCCATTTATTTTTAAATAGGCAGAACAACCCTAGAATCCTACGAAGACCAATCGCACAGATTTAGCATTTGATTGTAACATTGCCTGATACAGTCCTCTAGTTATTCATGAGTATGAACGTAGATCTTTTCTCTCCAACTAATTGAAAGCGCTCTCTCTGAAGGAAATCTTATAAATTGATTTGGCACGCACAAGCCTAAAGGGTAGGCTTGTCTTCCCAAGGTGCAGGACAAAACCCTGTAGACTGTCAGAGCTCAATCTGTGTAGGATAAATGAATGGGGGAGGCCCGCATCTTGAAACGTTGAAGAACAGAGGGGGAGGAACGCTAATTGTGCACCCTTGAAGCGTCATGACAGTGAAAGTACGGCTTCGTTTTTTACAGATCAGGAGTCACTTATTATAAATTAAGTTAGAGAGATGAGACAGGCATAGAAACTTGCCTCTAATAACCCTAGGTAACAACTTCCATTTTAATTTCAAACTCTAGAGAAGTCATTCTCTCTCCCTGCCCATTCACCCAAAGTACTGGTACACATTTGTGTGTATTTTTGCTCCAGCTACCCACAACTCAGAATCAAATTGTATATTCTTTACTGCAGTTCATATTCTCCTCTTCATATTTTGCTGTTGTATATTGTATGCTATAAACAATTTCAGATTTTATGGGGAAAGTATAAACAAAATACATAAATAGATATTGTAGACTGAATCACTGCAAAAAGGAACTGAGGAGAAATGTTCGGGTGGCTAACCACTTCTGAGGAACTCAATAGCAGCAAAGAAAAACAGTATTTCTTTTATTGGAGAGATTGTATTTAGTGACTAAGGAGAGAAGTGCCACCTGCTGACAAAATCTTAAATGACCTAGCATTCCAAGTTTTCTTAGAATCTGATCAGACATCTGTCTGATTCTTCATAACTTCATAGGTGGATAAGAAGGGGGCCCCAGAGGCATGACTGTTTCCTCTAAAATAAAGACTATCCAGGGGCGCCTGGGTGGCTCAGTCGTTAAGCATCTGCCTTAGGCTCAGGTCATGATCCCAGGGTCCTGGGATTAAGCCCTGCATCGAGCTCCCTGCTCAGCAGGAAGCCTGCTTCTCCCTCTCCCACTCCCCCTGCTTGTGTTCCTTCTCTCGTTGTGTCTGTCTCTGTCAAATAAATAAATAAAATCTTAAAAAAAAAAAAAAAAGACTATCCCCTACCGAAACCACTCTACACAGTTTGTTGCCTAAAACCAACAGAAGGCAAAGGCCTTTTATCTTTGCCAAAGAGCTGCCTCACAAGAGCCGTTCAGAGGCAAATGACTACATTCGAAGTGAAATGTGAAGCCCAAGCAAGGGAAAAGACCTCATTCCAAGCTGCTATTTAGTGTCCGTCAGGCTTTTGCTCCATACTTGGGCCTAACAGATACAGAATAACTGCAGCAGGACTAGAAAAGACAGTATACCTAAACTATCTGCCAAGAAACCCATCATAAATGAGCCTGGTGACAAGGCTCTAGACTTGACAAACATTAAGATGAAGCCCGTGCAGAAGGGAATTTGACAAAAGTAGTGGTGGTTAAGGTGACCTCAGCTAAACTTTCAAGTTTGTGGCACACAGAAAAGGCAGCGTCATGGTTTTCAAGCACTGAGTGTTCTACACTGTTGCCAAGGTAACAACAAAGTTAAGTTCAGATCGCAGGAAAGGGCCTTAATAGAGGGGATAGATCACTGGATTTGGAGTCAGGAGACCTGGATTACAGTGCAAACCCTGTTGTTCGGTATCTGTGGGATTTCTGGAAAGTCTCTTAACCTTTTTGGACTTCAGTGTTTTATCATCCGTAAAATGAAACTACCAATACTTGCCTGGCCAACCAATGAGTTGGTATGAGGATCAAATGCAATGAATTATGAATTCTAAAAGCACTATAGACGTGTATTAATAATTTGTATTTCCTTATCTTTTGGTAAGCTTTATGTGGATAATTGATATAAATACATCCGAGATAGGCAATTACTCTTTATCTTCTAAGTCCATCTAAAGAAGCATTTAGTACAATTCCTGTGCAATAAAGCACTTAATAGATATTTCTTGATAAAACTATCAAAAGTAATGGAACGGGGCGCCTGGGTGGCTCAGTCGTTAAGC